GGACAAGTATACAAGTATAGTACAGTATTTTCTGAGGACTCCACACTCGTACTTATTTTTTTAACGCCATTCTTGATAACCCGGCATTTTCACAAACTCGCCCACCCTTTGGTCCACATTAGGCCGAGTTTTCGAGGCTCTACTGTATAGTAAAATCTTGGTTATATATTTATGAAAGGGCTGTGAAGGAAAAAAATGCATAAATGAAAAAAAAAAAAAAAACATAAATGGAAACCAGCGCTGGATTGCTCACTAGGTATGAGCTTCACCTTCCTAGGAGCTCTTGGCATCAGGCCTTGAAATTGGAAAAAATAAAGCGGTTTTATTATTGCAATTGTATACCATAATCTATAAGTAATTTGATGGCTACAATTGTTAGTTTATAATGATGTGAAATAGTATAGAGTAGGGGTGACAAACCTATGGCATGCATGTCCAAAATTGCATGTAAGGAGAAATCATCTGGCATATAATGTATCATATGATTTCAATTTATCATCTGTCTTTTTCAATCATCCTTTTTACAATCAGATTTTTAAAATTTATTCTAATTAAAGCATATTCATTTAATTTCTTTAAATATTGTTATTTGAAGTTTAAAACTTTATCATGCAAAAACATCTTTAAAGCCAAGTATGCTTGCTATATGGTATATGGGCTTAAAATGGTTCACCGCCCCTGGTATAGAGGGCCTTGGAAGGTCTTAATCCACCATTGCTTAGAACTTTTTAAATGCACTATTTAGTTGTTTAGCTTACTTGTTTTTTATTATTAAATTTTAAATGACAAATATTCTATATGTAAGTGGAGAATGTTGCACTTGTATGCGTAGAATTAATATTACAAAAATCATTTTAATATATTGTTATATGTTATTATATATTTAATTCTTTCATTCTTTATCAAAAAACATTTCTAAAAAGATTGTCTGCTTTTAATTTACTTTTTATTTTCAAAACTACATATCAGAACTTACATTATTTGGTGTCTATGAATTTAGCAAGCTTAGGAGATTAATCATAAAAATGTTTTCAATATGTATGTCATCAATTTCAGGACTATATGCAACAGACATCAAAAGTTCTTCATAACTGCAGTGAAGGTTTTCAAGATTCAGATCACTTCTGTTAAAATTATATGCTGTAGATCTTTTATTGCATTTGATTATTTATGTATATGTTATCCTTTTTTGAAGAATAACATAAATATATGATCACATAGATTCAGATCAGGGAATATGATAGTTAGGACCACTCAGAACCAAATCTTTCCAGAAAATGATTAGACAATACATTTTTTGAAATGCTCATTGAGAACATCTAACACTTCAGTTACAATCTGAGGCAATATCTGACCTGTTGGAAAAGCATTTCTCTAAAATTGATACTAATTCCTTTGAAGAATGAAAGAAATTCAGCTTAAAAGACACTGAAATTCCAACCATTACTTATACAGTCGACCCCCCTATAAGATCATAGATATGTTCCATTTTTTGCGAATCCGATTTCTTACGAGTCGTTCCAATCACAGCCCGACACGTGTGAAGTTTACGGACTATGGCTGATTGAAAGGTTTTCTTCCATAAAATTAATCAATTCTAGACTAATCCGACTCAACATTTCCAAAATACGTATATTTTTTTTGGAAATAATTCGTATAAACTACGCTATAAACAAAAAATTGTAGGATTACTTACTGAGTGTGCACTATTAGACATCCCCATTGCTAAAGCTTGTTTTCGTCGCGGAACAGCTCAGCAAATAGCGGCCGATTTCTAACAACTTATTTTTCTGTGAAAACTTCGTAGAACTTTGGAGATATCATTAATATAAATAATTTTAATTGCCGTTGAATAAGAAATGTTTCTTTCACAAGAAATGTATAAAATTACAGTACTGTATTAGACTTACGGTACCTANGCAAAACACATAATTTAGTTACAATTGTAAATTCGTCTCTGTAATCCAAAAACACACTTTGGTAGACGTATCTTACAGCAATATTTATTTGGTGTATATTCTTCTCTAAGAAAACATCTTAGGTAATTCATATCATGTTCCAACATTTCTGCCTTCTTCGTTAAATCAGCTAACCTGTTGTCCATTTCTATTTTCTTTAAATTCATAATTATATAAACGGCTTGCTGTATATTATATTACAATTGTAAATTCGTCTCTGTAATCCAAAAACACACTTTGGTAGACATATCTTACAGCAATACGTCTACCAAAGTATGTTTTTGGATTACAGAGACGAATTTACAATTGTAATATAATATACAGCAAGCCGTTTATATAATTAAGAATTTAAAGAAAATAGAAATGGACAACAGGTTAGCTGATTTAACGAAGAAGGCAGAAATGTTGGAACATGATATGAATTACCTAAGATGTTTTCTTAGAGAAGAATATACACCAAAAAAATATTGCTGTAAGATACGTCTACCAAAGTGTGTTTTTGGATTACAGAGACGAATTTACAATTGTAACTAAATTATGTGTTTTGCAACACTGCTGGATTGTCTCCCACAAATGTCTTAAAGCTACAGCAGAAGTCAACTCAGTTGGCTTTATCAACTACAGAACAGCTTTTATGCATTTGAATTTTGTATTAGAAAGAATATATTGCATTTTTTTCAAATTATTTTTGTACATTAATGATTCTTCCAAGAATTTTCACTAATAAATGCATAATCTCTCAAACTTTTTAAATTGATAGAAAACAAATAATGTAAGTTCTGCTATACAGTTTTGAAATTAAAACTAATTAAAATTAGAATGTATTTTTAGAAAGTACTTGTATGAGAATGCAAGATAGCAGTTATCATTATTTCTCTCAAAAATAATGATAAATGATTAATTATTTTACAGATATTTTTAAGAAAACCTGTATTAAATATATGGTTTTTAATGTTTTTAATATAGTTTATATTAAAAATATTTCCAAAATAATAAATAATATATCAAAGTTATTTTCAGGGTTCCTACGCACCTGGAAAGTCAGGGAAAATCAGGGAAAGTCAGGGATTTTCATTATTTTTTGAAAAAGTCAGGGAAAGTCAGGGAATTTGTCAAAAATTATCAAAAAGTCAGGGAATTTGTCGAAAATTGTCAAACAGTCAGGGAATTTGTCTCCTTAACTGCGTTGTTGATTTGGTTTGCTGAATATAGATGACCAATCATAGCCATACGCAGGCGGCAAGAAGTAATGCTGCAATCTTTAAAACCCGAGATAACTCGGGAAAGTTCCATAGCGTTATATAAAACTCGGGCATTTGGGCCCTCCGAAAAAATTTTTGTTTTTTTTG